TTTTAGTTCAACGAATCAGCTGTTTGATAATTGTGAGAGAGGTTTTCTAGTCACATTTTGGACTATTTTTTTCCCATTATCAATAATGTCATTATCAACACTAATATCAGTATCATTATTACTATTATTGAACATTATTATTATTATTTATCATCAATATTATTTTTTATCATCATTGCTACTATTACTATTATTATTATTACCATCATTATAGTCGTTGTAAGAATACGGAATTTGGTATAAAATATTTCATTTCACATCAAGGCCTCATATCCTATCATAATAACACTGTATATCAATCTAAAACAAAATCATTGATCTAATGAAGTTGCACATGTGTCTTAAAAGTCTCTATGTAACTAGGCATCCCTACACTTTCACACGCACACCTACACATAAACGTAGACAAGGCACAGCGTGATAGGAATACCAAACTACACCTGCCTTTACAAAACAACTTACCTTTTATAGTCATTATCCTTTAAATCAGGATGACCAGTGTTCCTTCCACCATTTTAGCACTAAACGAAAGGGCCATTTCGCATAAACACAAAGTGAAATAGAACAATAAATAGCAGAAAGAACAGTCATAGTTACATATATGGACATGGTCGCGAGAAATTGGCAAGGACGGGAGAACTGTCTTGTGTATTCCCACTGTGTCGTGCTTGTGTAATTCGCTTGTTGTTGTTGTTGTTATTGTTATCATCATATCATCAATATTATCATTATTTCTATTATTATCATCATCATTAGCATTGCCATTTTATTTCATTATGATTAATATTATTATTATTATCATCATCATTATATCATCATCATCATCATCATCATCATCATTATCATCATCAATCATCATCATCATTCATCATCATCATCATCATTATCATCATTATCATCATTATCATCATCATCATCATCATCATCACCATTATCATTATTATTATAGATATTATTACTACCATTATTATCATCATTGTCATTATCATTACAATTATTGTTTGTTGCTATCATTACCATTATTATTTCTAATGTTATTATCATTCATATCATTATTATTATCATTATCAATATCTTAATATTGTCATTATTATTATTACTTTCAATGTCATTATCATCAACACTAATATCAATATCATTATTACTATTATTGAACATTATTATTATTATTTATCATCAATATCATTAATTATCATCATTGCTACTATTACTATTATTATTATTACCATCATTATTATCTTAAATATTGTTACTAGGAGTAGTAGCATTAGTATCATTCTCATCATTATCATTTTCATTATCAATATCATTATTATCACTAGTGTTATCATTATCATCATTATCACTATTATCACTATCATTATTATTATCATTATCATTTTTATTATTATTATTATTATTATTATTATTATTATTATTATTATTATTATTATTATTATTATTATAGATATTATCATCATAATCATTTTTATTATTGCTATTATTATTATTATTATTATTATTATTATTATTATTATGATAGTATATTATCATTGTATAATTACTATAATAATCATTGTTGTTATTGTTGTTATTATTATTTCTTATTGTCATTATTATCATCATCATCATTATCATTATTATTATTACTACTACTACTACTATTGTTGTTATTATGATTTTCATTATTATTATCAATATTATTGTTATTATTATTATTGTCATTATTATAATCATTATTAGTATCATTATTATTATTTGTTGTTATTATCATCACCATTGCTATGATTTTATAGTTTTCATTTATCAGTTATTATTACCATCATTATTATATTATTTCTTTTATTAATTAATACATTGTTATCATAATTATCATTTTTACCCTTAATCATCCTTATTATTAGTAGTAATAGTATTATTGTTATTATCATTGCTATTATTATCATTATTATTATCATTAGTATTATTATCATTATCATCATTATCATTATTGCTATTATTGCTATTTATCTTTATTATTATTATCAATATCATTCTTATAATTATCATCATTACAATTATTGCCATTATTATCTTTACTATTGTCATTACCATTAATATTATCATTGTTATTATTATCATTATTAGCATCATTATTGCTATTATCATTATTATCATTATCATTATTATAATTATTATTATCATCATTTTTATGATCATAATCACCATTATCATTATTGTTTGTAGTAGTAGTTGTAATATATTTTTATGATAATTATTAGCATTGTCATTATTATTATTATATTTATTAATATCATCATTATGACCATCATTGTTAATATTATCAGTATCATTATTATTACTGTCATCACTATCTTCGTTATCCTTATTATCATCATTATCACTATCACAAGTAATATATTAAGGATATTCTTTTATCGCAAATGTTACTGACGTGTGTGTACATATAATATATGTATATATGTATATATATATATATATATATATATATATATATATATATATATATATATATATGTGTGTGTGTTGTGTGTGTGTGTGTGGTGTGTGTGTGTGTGTGTGTGTGTGTGTGTGTGTGTGTGTGTGTGTGTGTGTGTGTGTGTGTGTGTGTGTGTGTGTGTGTGTGTGTGTGTGTGTGTGTGTGTGTGTGTGTGTGTGTGTGTGTGGTGTGTGTGTGTGTGTGTGTGTGTGTGTGTGGTGTGACATATGTGTGTGTACATATGTGTGTATATATATATATATATATATATATATATATATATATATAATATATATATATATATATATATATATATATGTGTGTGTGTGTGTGTGTGTGTGTGTGTGTGTGTGTGTGTGTGTGTGTGTGTGTGTGTGTGTGTGTGTGTTGTGTGTGTGTATGTTGTGTGTGTGTGTGTGTGTGTGTGTGTGTGTGTGCATAATTAATATACGTTTTACTAATAACTAAAATATATAAATAACATTATAGTACTTAACAGCCTTTATTGATTTATTGCCTTTTCTTCTTTTCATTTCATCTATTTTGATTTTTCACTTACTGTTGCTCCTTTCCTCTTCTGCTCCTTCTTTTCTATTTGCTTTGTTTTATATCGTGTTTTTAGCCTTTTCATATAATCTATTTTTTCCTATTCCTCTCCTTTCTTTACCTTCTACTTTCCCATTTCCGTCTTCCATCCTTCCTCCTCCTCTTCCACTTCTCATTCCTAGAAAATGACTCATTGTAACATACGCGAATTTTTGTTATCGAAACAAGTAGCCTTTTTACTAAACAAGTTTCGACATGTTGGAACAAGTTAGAACATGTAACAGCGAGTTTGTTTTTTTTATAACCTTGTATTGTCCAATAGGGAGTGGGTCTTTTCGTAGTTTTTGTAGATAAAGAAATGTATTATGGATATATGTCATAGATAAACGAATGAGTTAATAATGGGAATAATTTTATCATTATTATTGGTAATTAAGATAAAGCTGATGGTGATATTGATGTCAGTAATGATTATGATAGCTCCAAAGATATACTGGTAATAGGCCTATTAATGATGGTGATGATGATAATAAGTTGATATCTTGATCAATAAAGAGGTAGCAAAATGATATTAATGGCAATGTGTCATAATCGAAAAAAGTTTTGTTTTAGTCATACTGAAAACATTTTTTTCCAGAAGCCTTAAAAAGGTTTAACAAGAGTTTGTGGGTGGCAATATAGATGATGATAACGATATGGTACTGATAGAGTTGACAGCATTATCATGATGATAATAATGATAATGATGATAATAATGATGTGACAAGGATGATGGTAATGATGTGGATGATGGTAATGATGGCAATGATGATGATGATGATGACAAGGATGATGGTAATGATAATGAAAATAATAACAACAGTAACCAAAAAAAAAATATTTTTTCAGGAATTTTAAGAAGAGACGACGAACTACAATAACGTAAAATTCTTTCTCTGAAATGATGTTGAGACTGGCACTGATCTCCATTTTTTTCTACTTCTGTCAGGCGGACGATGGTAAGTAATTTTACACATTTTGGGTAAAAAAAAAAGCTTTAGTGTTTGGTAATATAAGTGAGGGTGTGATGGAGGAATGTTCTTAGGGAATTGTTTATCTTTCAACTGAAGGAAAATATTGAAAATATGGAATTATCTGTTTTTACTCTCTCTCTTTCTATGTGTATCTATCTTTTTTTTATCTATCTATCTAACTCTCTCTCTCTTTCTATCTGTGTATCTATCTATCTATTTATCTATCTATCTAACTCTCTCTCTCTCTCTCTCTCTCTCTCTCTCTCTCTCTCTCCTCTCTCTCTCTCTCTCTCTCTCTCTCTCTCTCTCTCTCTCTCTCTCTCTCTCTCTATCTATCTAACTCTCTCTCTCTCTCTCATCTATCTATTTATCTAATTCTCTTTCTCATCTATCTATCTAACTCTCTCATCTATCCATCTATCCATCTAACTCTCTCTCTCATCCATCTATCTATCTAACTATCTCTCATCTATCTTTCTATATCTAAATCTATCTATCTATCTATCTATCTCTATATATCTATCTATCTATTTATCTCCTTTATATATCTATCTATCTAACTCTCATCTATCTATCTATCTATCTAAATCTCTCATCTATCTATCCATCTATCTCTAATTTTCTCATCTATCTATCTATCTAACTAACTATATATTTTTCTCTGTCTATCTAAATCTCTCATCTATCTATATATGTATCTATCTATCTCTCATTTATCTATCTATCTATATATCTTATTCTCTCTCTCATCTATCTATATAGCTAGCTAGCTAGCTAATATATCTATCTATCTCTCTATCTACTACCTAACTAGCTCTCATCTATCTCATAAATTCTAAATTCTCTCATCTCTCTATCTAACTCTCTTCTATTCTATCTATGTAATAAACTCTCTCCCATCTATCTATCTTTCTATCTAACTCTCCCATCTATATTCAATCTCTCTCATCTATCTATCTATCTATCTATCTATCTATCTATCCCAGCCACGCCCAGCCAGCCCGTCCCACTCCCAGACGAGTGTAAATCAGACTACGCACTGACTTCCCCGAGTGAACACCACGTCATCCAAGCCGATCTTCCTGGCTTCCTCGTCTGGTTCAGAGCGCTCGATCTCGACACGAACGTCACCTTTGAGACTAACGCTTCAAAGGGCGTAGTCCGGTTGCTCGACGACCAGTGGTACGCGATGGGTGTTGAGGAGTGCGGGGGCGAGGAGCAGCAGGTAAGGCTGTTCTGCTCTGATCTTTCTGTTTGTCGTTCTTTCTTGCTGTTTTTTTTGTCTCCTTTTCTTTCTTTCTTTTTTCCTTCTGTTTGGTTCTCTTTCTTTGTTTTTGTTTGTTTCTTTCTTTCTTTTGCTTTGTTTGTCTCTCTCTCTCTTTGTTTTTGTCTCTTTCTTTCTTTCTTTTTCTTTCTTTCTCTCTTTGTATTTGTCTCTCTTTTTTTTCAGTTTTTGTCGGTCTTTCTTTCTTTTTCTTTCTTTCTGTTTGTCTTTCTTTCTTTTTTCTTTCTTTTTTTTTCCTTCTTTCTCTTTCTTTCTCTCTCTTTCCCTCTTTTCTTTTCTGTCTCTTTCTCTGAGTGTGTATGTGTTTGTGTTTGTTTGTTTGTGTGTGTGTGTGTGTGTGTGTGCGTGTTTGTTTTTGTGTGAAAAACTAGAAAAAAAAAATGTTTTATACACTGCGAATGGACATAATTCTACGCTAATAAATAATTATACTATCTAATAGATTCGGTATATATTTTATAATTATTTTTACGAAAAATATTCTTTGTACTTCACTTTTAATTTCTTTTTCTTTTTTTTCAGGAAGTTGTCCTTAATATACCGGGATTAAGGTACAAGACAGTGTTATATTCCCCTACGATAAAGACCAGCAGTGACGGGCGTGTGATGTGGGTCAATTGTA